CTTTAACTTCAAACCTGCAATTGCTTTTCCACCGCCGAGTGGTTGTTTCGTTATCTCTTCTCGATCGTTACTATTTTGGCTTCTGCTCTTCCGAACTCGCTTCAGCAGTTCCCCTTCCCTTGACCTTTTCTCGTCCACCTCGTTCTCAAATGGGCAGTCACCCTTATTAGGTTTCTATCCCCAGATGTCGGACTTCCAACTTTTAATCTTCTTATTTCCCGAGAACTGTTCCCAGTTCCTCGTCTCCAAGCTCTTATAACCTTTCTCTTTCAAAAGCAGGATTAACAAATTGATTCTTACTTGAATGTTCTCCTACGTACCTCCCCTTTACAGTATATCATTGATTATGGCGTTTACCCCTTTTGCTGTAAATCACTTTATATGTAATAAAAAACGGTAAGGAGAACTGCATTTGGAGCGATCGGTGAGATATACGAAGAGACAAGCAGCGGAAATGAATTATCTGGACGGACGATTCAATGTTCCCGTCATTTAGGCATGGTCGTGATATCCATGGAACTAATGGAAGCCGTATAATGTCGGTAACGATGAAAGCTCAGTGAATATTTGGAGAGACCTGTTGGGAAGGTCGGAGAGATCTATTTCTGGAGTCCTAACCCGATATCTTGTCATTGTTCGGCACCATTGCCAAGGGGATTTTCCAAGACAGGGTTTTTTATTACACACTAGTGTGTGATGAACAGAAAACGGGGCGAACCCCATAGTCACGAGGACCTGCTGTTTTTAGTGGTGGAAATCGGCATCCCAAGCCCCTGGACTTGGAGTGGCGAACCACATAAAGCCTCGATAGGTTAGGTTTGGTATTGTATCGAACGACGACAGAGCTGCCTACCACCAAGGATTTTTAAGTGCTGTGCCAAACGCTACTCCTAGAGACTGACTCAAAATGTCACAAGCAACTTACTATAGAGTGTTGGCCGGTTCACTATAATGATTGCCGTGTGGTTTTGTCAGTGGTTCACGTCGGGTATGACAGACTAAACCTGTGGCTGTCATGGCCAGAGTATCTCGACCATAGTTTATGTAGTGACGCCGTTCGCCTCATTTTATGATCCTCCATTGTTGTTACAAGTCTTTTTACCTGCAAACCCCTATGGTTTATCAACATTAACTTGATTCAGGGTGCGGTCAATCACACTCAATAGCTTGTGAAGGCCTTGGCAACAGATTCTCATGAACCACAGCTCGTTCCCCTGACTTTCGGCTCTCTTTGTCAAGTCAAGTTGATGTGGTATGCAAGTGCACTAACCTAGTCGGAACGGTGATTCATCTAACCCGTTAGCGCTACGTGGAAAACATGCTCATCAGGGAAACGTATGCCTTTTNTTTCACCTTCGAAAAGCTCAGATTTATAGAACGAAATTTAGTCTTGCGCCTAACTTGCGTCCAGGTTCATACACCAGAAGGATTTGGGATTTGCGACGTGAAAATTATCACCGTGGATTGTAATTATTGGTTTACAATCTGTAGTTTTGGACAGCTACCTAAGCGAGCAACAATAACGAGTTTATTTCAGGGAATACAGATGAGTGTTATGTCAAAAGGTTTACAAAGGGGTGTGGACAGGGAATTAGCATTATCATTTTGGAGTCTCAATTTTGCACCCAAATTAGAAGCCGTTATCTGTAACACAGACGGCCCTGGCTAGCAAGGAGGGGACCGTGTAACTTTTTGTGCGCATCTGAGCAACAATGGTAAGTGATTTTATGGGATATATTCTTATGCGTGCTATGATATATGAGCACTGAGGACTTTTACTGCCTGATGTGCAGTTGACGTTTTGTCTTCTGGGACTAACTATAAAGGATCTGTTTAGTGAAACCGCTAACGTGGTTACCTTGCTTTTATTCATCACATGATCGTCGACCGTAGACCATGAGGACTACACCGCTATGGCATCTCGCACTCATGCCGACTCTTGCGGTTAGGCCATGATCACCCTTTTCAGACCGCGTGATCCTTAGCTGAGGACTATGCAGAGTTCTTGTCATTATGACTACCTCAAGGATTTTATCAATGACTGTGATCTTTGCACGGAAAACAAGTGTCTAGTTTGGTATGAATGTGAGTAGCGTTTTGGCCTGGAAGTGGCTGTTTGGTGTCTGTGTTGAAAGTGCATGTGCATGGTCAGAATGCCTGTACTGTAACCGCATTTAGTGCCTTAATCCNCCCCAGTACTATCCATGAAAAACGACAGACTGAACTCATTCCGGTGACTCCACTGTAACTGGTGCAGATTAATTTGAAAATGAAAGATGGAAGGAAAAGAGGTGAGAGGGTAAATGAACGATCGAAACGAATGCAGGAGAAAGTGCTTCGATTCAGCTACGCCTTTGTTGTTGTCAAAGAGGATTTAGCCTAGTAAAGCTCTGGGAACAGATCCGGCCACACGTCCTTAACGGAGATAGCAGTACCACAAGATATCACCTCCAGCGGTATCCTATGGCGATGGTCCACAATTCGGTTTATGAAAATGTGGTGTCTAATGTTTAATCCAGCTCTTTTCTTTTACAGTTTCCGTTCGTAACCCCTAACATCATGAACCACAGCAGAGCAATAAGCCCTTGGGGACTAACGTTGTTGAAACCCTTCATACGTTGGTAGGATCCATCTCAATATTCTCCTAATGAAGAAGGGACCCGAAAAAAGCTAGTGACTCTTTATAAATCCGATTTCGCTGATTTCCCATCCTTTTCGTAGCAGTACGTTATCAATATATGAAGAGTTAGACTAACAAGGATACTGGGAAAACGGTGAAAAGTATACGGCAGAATTTCGACACTAAGTACTCACCATTTGTAACTCTCATATGACTGCTCTTGTTATGCATATGTACGAAAGAACTAACGATTTCTTCTGTAATCGCCTCTAATCGTCTCAGTTCGGCCTCGACCGGTTTCAGATTTTCTGCATTTGCCAACTAAAAAACAGTCAAAACAAAAAACGGAACAAACCAAATCAAAACGTTTGGCCTCAGCTCCTTGTCTTATATCTAAAAATATTTCCGATGCTTCCGGGCGTTGGTTGGGATGTCCTAGCAGACATGAAAAACAGATTGATAGAACTTACTCGTGCGCACCTCGAAACAGATATCAACCAAATCAAAATCCTCTGTAGAGAACGAGAAAGATCCGTTTTGGAAATCTGCACGTTGATACAGAAGATGCGACTTCGAGTCATGAATAGCAATGGAAACACTAAGGATATCGTGTTTTGTGGCGGAGAATTGGCCCTTTGTTATTATGCCACCAGTTGAGTCTTCCTTCAAACATTTCTTTTCACCTGCCATAAGGTTAAATCGAAGACCCAAAGCAGGTGAACATAACAAAACGGCAACGAATATCGGAAAAATCGAGATAAACATATTCATGTTGCGTACACGTCTAACACTACGCCCAAACGCGCCAAGGCCTAGCAACTGAAGCGATAAAACAAATCTGTTTCATTCTGTTATAGGAAGACGAAACAAGTCTCTTGCCAATAAAAGAACCAGTTATTAGTGTTTTAGTCGGTTGACTGAGCTTTAAACTCTTCATGCCCTGGCGGTACGTTGGCGCGCGGTTGAAGTTTTTGACATGCTCTGATTCGCTTAGTGTTTAGATCGTAAAAATAAAGTACAATCACCGTAGACTGACACTATACAGTGTTCGAAACGTTTTGTTTTCCGAGTTTTGATCGTAATTATTTACAGTGCTGTGTCAAAGAGCACACAGCAGCGCGGACCAAAACGCCGTGCACAGCCAATTAGATTGTTGACTGAGCCGCTTTCTTCTATTGGTTTCAGATGTCACACCAATCCTTGAGGATACCCTTTCGTCGCGAAGAACGATTGCGGCCTCTTTACATTAAAATGATGCCAAACATGGAGAAGAAAATTCTGCACATTTCTTCTGCGGATCCCCTTAGTTACCAGATGAAAACGGCTTTAATGTGGAACTATGCAACCAACACAGACTTGTCCTGAGCCACTAATGGAACAACTCATAGATGGACAAGCGGCAGATGAAGCGTGACTTTATTGGGTTTTTGAGAGACAAACTCTTTGAAAGTGAACCTTTTTTCCGCAACCTTTACAGAGTCTCTCTTGCGGGGCACTTGAAGCGAGGGTGCTTGTCGAGGCCACAGAAAAAACACTTGGGACGGACTACGGCGGCGATACTATCGTTAGAACCCTCTATCAAAGAGTTGCGTAGGGAGGGAGGAGTGGATGAAGGTGCGCGTATAGCTGCCGTGTGGTATGCAGTGGGAAAGTTCTGGTGGGACATGAGTTGTTGCTCTGTCATTTCTAGGGCCCCCGCTTGATCGAAGGCCTTTTGAAAATTCAGTGAACTATTTTCCAGTAGGCATTGTCTGATATGGTTAAATTGAATTCCACTAATAAATACGTTTTGGAGAAAATCGTTTCGGTTTTCCTCAGAGGTAGTGGACCTGAAGGTGCAATCTCTTGCTAGGGACTTCAACTTTTGAACGAACCGAATTTTCCCACTGTCCTGTTTGGCCGTGGCGAGGAGATGACGGATGAAGACCTCATTTTTTGGGCGCACCTAAAGGTTACTAAGCGTCTCCATTGCCATCTCATAGTTTTCACATTCCACGACATGTTCGTAGACAGCAGGAGATATGTATGTTTGTATATCCAGTTTGTCGCGTTTTAAATTATCCACTGACTTGAGGAGGCTGAGAAAAGTCTTGTAACAATGGTTTCACTGTCTGGTGAGCTAGGTTTAACATCGAACCATTCTAGGCGTAATATTCAATTTATTTCTGTGTCGAATAAATTGTGTTATAGCAGCGCGCACGAGAAACGAGAACGAGAATGGCTTTATTCGACATACAGCGTACGTATGGACGCTGAAAAAGGAAGAGGAGATACGAATCAGAAAAGTGATATTCAAAGTATTATGTCAAGGTCCAATCCCTGTCCACCCTAAATTTTACCACTAACCTTGTATGCATTGCGAGTATGGCAGAGATCATCGAAGTTCACCTCATTGTATTTCGCTGTACGATGATGATGATGATCATCATCAAGAAGAAGAACGATTAAGGTTCTTAATCAGAGCCTTTAGCCCTGACAAGAACGTAACTGAACGTAACGTGAAGCGAAGTAAAGGTCCATTTGCTTGGATTGATTACCCCACCATTTCTAACGACTGAGAGTGGAACCCCAGCCTGGAAGATCAGGACACTGGACTTCTTCTAACCTCTATCCTTCGACCTTCCCCGCCGAATGGAATCTTCGGCTTGACAACAGCCTTCCTGTATAGCTCGTTGGGTCAGAGAGGCGCATAAGCCATCAAACCATGTCAGGGTACCCGATTTCTCCGTTCCTGTTCGATTTCGTAGAAATATTGGGCAGCGTACTTAGTGGTATCCAAATGTTGGTATTGGGCAACTGGAGAAAAGTTGCTCGACTTTGAGGAAGCCGACGACATCCTTTGTGTGTTTAATTGTTTGGGGGATGCGCAAAGCGCACTTGACAGACTGACAAGCTCTGTTGCTCTTTTTGGTATACTCTTTCAAAATTCAAAGTGATGTTGCCGGACTGGGTGTTTTCTATTAGTTCGATGAACAACAGACGGGGTAAATCCCAACTACGGGAACCTGCTGTTCGGTGATGTAGACCGGTAACCTAAGCCCCGCGAATTGAAGTGGTAAACCATATAAGGCCCCATAGGTTAGATATGGTAATGAACTAGACGACAGCACAGCTGCCTACCACCAAAGTTGGTTGTTGGTGGCGGGGCTTGAACCTCGGACCATAGGGTCCAAATCTCGCTTGTGACAGCGACTAAACTACTGCGTCACCGCCACCCGCACCACCCTATGATCAGTCCTGCTTTACGATTGGGACCTTGAATTTGCGGGTAGAAGACATCCATCGCCTGGAGTTTTTCGACAATCCATGCTTACATGGTCTGGCTCACGTGGGATGGAGTGAGCGAGTTAGTAAACTGGAGGTCAGTCGTCGCGTACTTGAGAATGTATAAAGGACGAATTCTCTTTCACATCGAATCCAGCTCAACAGGCTTCCCTGATTATGACATGTTTTGCGTATATCGGACAGTCACCCATCACATGGCGCGCTATTTGCTGTGGCTGTTTTGGGATGAAGGAAAAACAGGTGGAGTTTAACAAACGACAAGGAAACGATTTATGAAGAAATGCATGGAATGATTAGAGAGATTACTTGTCTCCGTTCTCTCAGGTTGGGGCCTAAAAGACCCCGTAACTTGTTGATTAGAAATACTAAAGGACGGCATCCAGTCGGCAGCACTGGCATTCTTGTTGTTTCTGTGTTGTGTATGCAGAATACGTGAGAAACCGCAACGAGGGAGGCCCCAAAGTGAGGATTTATCCAACATAGCGCGTACGTTTAGAAACTGAAAAGGGGAAAGAAAGCGTGCCAAACGGGTGCACCGTCATCCGATATTCCTGGGCAGGTCCGTCTAGGTTTCCATCGGGCAACCACCACAACCGTAAAGCGTTCCTTTGCCCCTCGAGAACTTTGACCTGCATGAACATCTCCTCAATATCAGCCGCTACCGCAACTGACCCCAGACAGAATCTGCACAGCACCTCAATCAGTGGAGTCGTCAGGTCTGGGCCTTGTAATAGACGATCATTTAGGGCAATCCCGGCACACTTGGCAGCACAATCGAAGACAACCCGGATCTTCTGAGGTTTCTTGGGGGTTATGACAGGGTGGTGCGGAAGGTACCACAATGGTTGCTCCTTCTTGATTTCTCCCATTGCGCGTTCGAAATATCCCAACTCTAGATTGCTTTTCATGGCGTTACAGTAGGCTTACTTCAACTGTGCGTTCCACTTTAATCGTCCTTTCAGGTAGTTGAGCCTGTGGAGTGCTATTTCTCGATTGTCTTGCAGTCGGTTGGATCCCGTTCGCCAGGGTAACGGTACTTCAAACTGGGTTCCGTTGTGTCGTATCGTTTCGGTGACGACAGTCAGGGCTGCTCGGTCTTCTGTCGACATAGATACCCGGTCGTCTGCTATGTCGTCGATCTCGTGATTATAAAGCCGCTCCAGGTCGTCTCCTTAGGGATTATCTGGCCGCGAGATAAAGTTGATCGCGGCCGAATGATTACTATCATGACCGAGCGGCCCGCAGAGTATCCAGCCAAACATCGTGCGCACAGCATACGGATCTCTACGGCCTCCTATCCTTTGGTCCACAACCCAGTGCGCCTCGGGTACATCACAGCAGATCAATATGTCCACTCGGGTGTCCGGAACATTCGAACGGCAGATCGTAGAGGTGAGGTCAGCGCCGCGCTATCGACCGGATACTTTCGGAAGCTCTCATTGGTAGTTCGGCGATAGTAAATGCCTGGTGCACCTCTTTCGTATCTTCACCCGATGTGGGAGCTAACTTCAAACTCAGTTGAGAAGCTCGAGCTGCTCGTGCCTCATTTACCGTGCTGATTACAAATGAGGTGGTTTTCCAACCAGGTCGTGTTCTCATGCAAAGCTCTCTCTCACGAGGGTGGTATCCGAAACATTGTCTAGAAACGCCACGGCTCGAACCATTCCACGCGGAGTCTCCACCTGGATTGATATTATTCCCAAGCGGACCGGCCCACTTGAAACCCGTCCAATAGTGCAGACGAATTTCGGTGTATCCCCCGCAGCGTGTTCGTTGGTTCTATCGACCCGGCCATTATTTGTTCGATCGTGGTGTAATAAGAGGTGATGCCAAACCCTACAATTATCTTGACCACAGTTAGTTCGGTTTCTACAAAGGGCTGCTTTGTGGGTATCGCTCAAGCACACAAAGCAGGACCCTGTCTTTTTGGCTACTGTCCAGCGGTCCATCACCTTCATTGCCAAAACTTCTGGGCGATTAACAAGCTTGTGGACACCTGTGCACAGTTTGCATTTAATCGGTCTTTGTGTATCATATGAGATTAAATTGGTGCTTGCCCAGTTTCGTGGGGATGGGACCTCGAGATCCAGACGGCGTAAAGTTGGTTGAAGGCCTAGCGGTTCTAATGTTTTCCCTCGCCAGTTAACCGAATCGACTATTTGCTATGCGAGATTGACAACCTATGAATTGGGCGAGTTCGTCAAAGGTTGCCTCTCTGTTCCTTTTCTCGATTCGANATTCGATCGACCTCGGTCGCCCAGGCTATCTACATTTCGGCCGGCAAACATCTGACAATCGATTCCAGTGTGTGGAGTGCATCCAGGTCCGACCGATATTCAAAGTGGTTTAAGGCGATGCTGCAGTTCTGCATCTTGATGACCAGGTTTGCTAGAGAACTGGTATCATCTCTTGTGCGCCTCGCCTCTGCTAGCACCCCGTCAATCATGTTTCGTGCCACTCGGAATGGTTGGCCGAACATC